ATTGTATTTTGACTAAAACGGCAGTCCATATGGACGAACGTCCACATCTTTTTTTTTTTTAAATAATCTCTGTGGGTAACAATACATAAAAAAACATTTTTTTTCTCAGACAATTGGGTGTTAAAAACTACAGTTGTTAAAGCTTCGCTCTGCGTGACGTGCAGCGAGAGGAGGAAATGATCCTGCGACACGACGTAACTTTTCTACAGCAGGAGGAGGAAATGATCCTGCGACACGACGTAACTTTTCTACAGCGGGAGGAGGAAATTTAGAGGATTTATCCTCACTATACGTGTTTTAAAATGCTACAATTTCTTCATTATATTTCAAACTCCTGCTCTGTTGTCTCTTCACTCACAGCCTTGTTCACACAGGTGTGATGACGTAATAATGATAGAACAGTAGAGTATAAATTTTTACTGCAGGCCAACTTCATATGGTTTCTACAGTCTACCACATATACAGCGCAGCCCTGTTACTAATTACAAAAAACTAAAGTATAACAGAGTGTACTATCATCACAATACTTATTTCAAAAGTGTAATTCTTATGAATTTTGAAGACTTTCTAAATACAATTTAAATGTAATTTTTTTTACAAAATAGTACACTTAAATTATACTGATAAAGCACGTTATTAGTACATAAAACACTATACGTAAAGTGTACAAAGTAAAACATAATGGTACACTTAATACACTTCAAATTATGATTTTCTACAATTTAATTACAACTAAAATGTGTTTAATACAAAATTAGTCGTTTCAAAATAGCCTGTTTGAAGTAGCTGATTATTAGTGCGCTGTATGTTAAGATTGAGTATACATGAATATTTATTGTTCACAAGGGAAAATAAGGTTTGTTAGCTTGTTTTCTATTTTGAGGTTAATGCAGACAGAAAATGAGAGGAATTAATGAGGAATTAAAGATATTAAATATTAAATAACGTTGGGCATGTTGCTCAGTTTGTTTTCTAATCACAATTTTTTTCGTTAATTTGATTTTTGAGTAAAAACAAAGTGTAAGTTTCACAGATGCTCAGCTTAAATTCTCGTGTTGTTTTTTTGTCTGAAAGGCCCGGCGAGGTCCGAACGAACCCTGAGCAGCTTCTGATTTGTTGCGTTTGCTCTGGTTTTCTCCTGGTCTGAAGCTGAAGTTGAGTTTTTTTCTGCCTGTCAGGGGGAGGAGCACGCAGCGTTCGACATGGGCGGCTACGAGGAGTACCTGAGGGAGCAGGTAGGAGACCGCTGGTTCCGCTACAACCCCCGGCTGACCTGCATCTACTGCTGCAAGTCCTTCAACCAGAAGGGCAGCCTGGACCGCCACATGCGCCTGCACATGGGCATCACGCCGTTCGTCTGTCGCATCTGTGGCAAGAAGTACACCCGCAAAGACCAGCTGGAGTACCACATCCGCAAGCACACAGGCAACAAGCCCTTCCACTGCCACGTCTGCGGGAAGAGCTTCCCCTTCCAGGCCATCCTCAACCAACACTTCCGCAAGAACCACCCGGGCTGCGCCCCCCAGGAGGCCCACAGCGCCTCCCCCGAGACCACCACCGCCTCCGTCACGTCCAGGGGCGGTCCGAGCCAAGAGGCCTCCCCGAGCCAAGAGGAGCCCGAAGGAGGGGGAGGCGGGAGCGGCAACGGCGGAGGCCCGTACGGAGAGGGTCCTCAGACCTCCGTGTCCACCACGGGGCCCGACTGACCTCAGCGACAGGAAGTGGGCGGGGCTAAGTCTGATCCTGTTGTACCTGAAAGCATCAGGAAACGTTCTAACAACAAACACCTCAGAGTCTAAACTGAGATTTTTTATTTTTTATTTTTTCCGCTTTAAACCGCATCTACCTTCAGTAAGCAAACCGGACAGATTAAGCTAAATGAAGAAAACGCCACACACTCTCCAACAACCTCGTTTACACCACACACACTCCAACAACCTCGTTTACACCACACACACACTCCAACAACCTCGTTTACACCACACACACACTCCAGTGGTTCTCCTTCTGCCTCCGTCAGGTTTTCTGTTCGGCATTTCTACTTTTATATTTACTGGTTCACAAAAGCAGCGTCGCTACAGAAGACTTTGCCAAAATCCTCAGTGCCAGTTTGCCGGTTCAGATCCTTTGTATTTGCCTTGAGACAATCCGGAGCAGTCAGGTTAATAATAATTATTTACACTCGTTAAGTGCCACAGTGGCAAAGATCTCATTAAAACAGAAAATATAAACGTTAAATTCCAGTGTGATTGGAGTTTATTTTTGTCAAATATAGGAGTCATAAAACACAAGCTTACACTACATTCTTTAAAATTACATTATACGATAAACAGTCAGTAAAACTACCAACACAAGCTGGTTTATGTTATTTTTATTATTTTAAACTTTGTTAAAACTTGACAAACGTTCTCAGAGTCTAAGCTGGCTTTAAGTATTTTATCTTGTTGGAAGTTGAAACTAGTTTTATCATTTAACTTTATGCAGAGAAAGCTATTTCTACATATTCTCCASAAATTTTCAATTTGGCAACAAATTCTTGTCTTTTTCCAAACAGGAATTCAAATTTGTAAATAATGAGTAAAATACAAGTTTTCCTAAATAAAAAGCAAGAAAAACATTTTTGATAATAATTATATATTGATGGTCTACGGCCCCGTCTACACCACTCTAAATGTTTTTATTTAAACTGATGTTGTTTTTCTTTGTTTTAGTTTAACAAACATGCAGTAATACACCTGTGATGCCACTAGGTGGCGATAATGCACATGTTAACATGTCAAAAAATAAGGTAAAAATATTTTCTTTGTTTTTTTTCCTTTTTAAATTATTATTTAAGTTCAGTTATAAACCGTTTTAGCTGATATAGTTTTAAGCAACCAAATCAGGATAACATGAGACGGAAAAAAATAGTTGCCATATACTATTGTTGTTTTCTTTTTTTTTTATAAATAGCAACGGTGAGCCCATTGTCATTATTTATTAAAGATCTTAACTTTGAGACGTGTTTTTAAAATATTAATTATATATAATGTATTATTATATATAAAATTATTCTTAATTTGTATTTGAATGGAAAGTTTTTAAAAAATATCCGGTGAAATACAGGTGAGGCCTAATTATTTAAATCTCAAGTATCCTCTAATTTAGAATTTACATTATTTTTAAATAAAACCGCACACAAAAATTCAAATTATTAGCTGTTCATCTTTGTTTACAAGGAAGCAAAATTACTTTTTGCTCTTATTATACATTGTAAT